GTTTAACCAATCGCTAAGCGTGTCATAATCCACACGACTGAAATCAGGGGCAGGTATGTAAGACCTCTCAGTAATCATGTAATCCACTTCAAACCGTACGGTGTTATGATCTGAGTTGGCAAGAGGGGGGAGCATTTCGATACCCTTAATCGAGACGCCCGATGTCAATTTGAAACATGCCCATGTAAGGGAAAGTGTAAGCACTTCGGCGAATCGCTTTCCGAGGCCTAGAAACTGGGGAGTCATTGAGCTTCCAGTAAAGATTCGGTGTCCAACATAAAGCACGAAACTCGTAATTTTCTAATTTTTTCTTATCATTTTCCACAGTATCACTTCTGAAGAGAGTTCCAATCATGTGAAGCCTGAAGACCCGCGTTTTCAGAGGAATAGACCGAAAAGAAAAAAAAGCGAACTGGTACTTTAAATACGTTTCAGTCCGCTCCATTTTGGATGAGTTCAAGTATTCCTTGAAAAACGCTGCAAAAATTTGAATTCGAAGAAATCTGCAGCAGTTTAGAATCAAAAGAAAACCAGCGCGTGGCCAAAAATCGGACCGTAAATCTCCCACAACGGATCAACTGGGTGCTTCGTGAGCCCATCAGTTTTGAGGTGAGTTCGAACACACATTAGGAAGCTCTGACCCTGTATTAGTTACAGTGGGTAAAGAAGAGCAAAAAATTGAATCTGAAAAAAAGTTATGGCAGTTCAAAGCCAAAAAACCCGTGCGTGCAAAAAAAGGCCAACGGGACGATTCTTCGAATTAATGAACACTTCAGAGGTTCTAGTCCTTTCTAAGGAGGAAACAACGAGGATTCGAAGTTTTCTACCACTTTTACCCTCACTTAATATATGAATATTTAACCCTGATTGTTTTTTCAATGAAGTTTCTTTTACTCAATCAATAGAGATGTGGAGGTGGCATCATGACCTCTGAGTTATCCCACTCAATTAGGGCTGCTTCGCACCTCGGAGCGAGGCATCCCTTAATTAGGTGCGAAGAAACAGAAATCGTACCACTTTCAACCCACCCGCGTGTATCATATGTTCTTCGCTAGGGCTAGTGCATCCTTCAATCCCAATAGTACTGAAAGCACAGACCCTGTTTGGACTGTTGCTTTGATTGAAACGAATCGGCGCATGACCCGTGAAATAAGACTGACGATAGTGTTGCCAAATCAACCATCCACGACCAGTCGATCGAACTTGGTTTTGTTAAGCGCTTTGATGTCTGGATACCTCACAAATGTGATCAAATCTGCGAGCCCAATCTGATGGGCTGAGTCCCCGTGTGCGGCTCCTTGCTTATACGAAAAGAAAATGAGTCGTCTCTGAAACGCATGGTATCGCGAGACATAAAGTGGGCCGTGTACGACAACGTGGAGCGGAGACGATCGTGGAGCCATTCGAGTGAGCCGAAGCAAACCCCTCCAAAAGCCAAAATCTAAGTGCGGAAGATTATTCAGCGTTGCTCGTGGGACTGAGAGGGAATTATTCACTATGAGCTGTCCGCATAATCAAACGATAGCCGAGGAAAATACTGTATTAAGCTAAATATTTGAAGGCAGCGATAGACCAGAAGCGCCAAAAGCGGCCAATCGTAAGGGCGTAGCTGTACATTAGGATAACGCCAGACCCCACGTATTTTTGGCCACTCTTCAAATTACTGGAGCGTGGGTGGGATGTCTTACCACACCACCCATATTGACCGGACATAGCTCCATCAGATACCACGTTGTTTAGGTCTGCAGTTACTTGAACGGAAAGTGTCAATTTTGCGAGGAGGCGACCTGCAAAAAGCACCTGGAGTTTTTTTATGCTAAGTCTGGAACCTTCTATAAGCGGGATAATGGACCTTCCAAAAGGTGGCGAACCATTATTTAACAGAGTGGAGAACATATTGTTCAAAAACGGATTTGTTCTTGTGGAAATTTTTACCCAGAAATGACCACAAAATCGGCGGCGGAAGCTTTCCAGACAAGCCAATACAACAGCATCACAAGTTCCGAGGAACGTCCATGAAATGTGCACAAATTTTCATGCTTTTTTATTACATGGTGTAATAAATTAATGAAGAACCACAACACAGAAGCAACACTGATGGATATTCAAGCCTCCTTAACGAGCGGTTTGTGATGTTCTCGTGAAGGACTTCCATGCATGGATGTCCAGCATGATTCGCAGTAGTACTGAAATCGTTGTTTTTGAAAGAAAGAGGTTGAGAGAAAAAGGTTGTGAAGTTACCTGCAAACACTCAAGATGCGGACAGAAGAAAGGTGCGTGTCGTCCACCATTCGGCTCACGAATGCCTCTTGCGTCACAATTGATTATCATAATTTGAGCTTCATTTCTACCTGTAATGATTGTGATTATGGTAGTTCGAGGTGGATAATAAAAATTTTGACCATAAAAGTGTCTAACTACATCAACAGTTTTAACACTTTCGACAAACGCCGTTTTCACAGCCTTTTGCAGCTTTGCCAAGCATCAGCTTCCTGTGTCCATTGACAGCCCCTCCTTTTTTTTTGAATACTTCGTTTAGAACACCATCAAATTCCATAGCGGCAAGTGAGTTGTTTAGTGCAGTGGCAGCTTACCACGCGCGCAGGCCAAAACGGCCTTCAAATTCCGCGGGAGTTTGTAATGGTACCAGACCTTGTCTGGAGGAGATAAAAGCACTTGAGATCGGCCGGCCCCCCCGCGGCCTAACGTCTTGTGTAGGCCAAATCGCATTCAAACGCCTATGCGGAAGCACAAATGTAAATCGAATGCGTGTCGCAGAGAATTGATCAACGGCAAATGCTTTAACCTTTTATCCTTAACCCATCACCCTTTAGTTATTTCATTACCAATGATTACCCTACTTCCTGAACCCAATAATGTGGACGGGGACCGTTCTAGAACATGAATAATAAAAAACTCAATTAAAACGAGCGTCATCAGTGTCAAAATTTAGATGTTAATGTGCTGAAAGCAGTGTGTGTGATAATTTGATGTTGATCGTATTTGAAAACAGTTTCAAATTGTGTGGCAAAGGGGAAGAAATTAAGGAGTCGCGCAAAAAACCGAGGAATGAAACCCTCAATTTGCCTATTGAATTTGCCGTTTATTTTGCTTGAGTTGGCGTAGACACTAGCCGTTCTGGGAAAAGGTGTACCGATAGAATTTATGGACGAACACGACGAAAAGATACGACCGTTTTGTTTCAATATGCAAAAAATGGAAGTAAAAAGTGAACGGCAATGACGACGGCTTTGCGAAACTCCACTTGGTGGCGAAGCAGCTCGGGGTGGAACGGGTTTCAGGTAGGAAGAGCTTTATGCGCTGCATCTTGTGCTCCATCCGCCTTGAAAACTAATGTCACACCATGCTTCCCCCGCTGCGCCTCTATTGGTTCATATACTTCTCTTGCTGTATCGTATTCACCACCTTTAACCTGACTGGCCAATAGGCCTGGAAAGCATCCCTTCCCCCATTTTATTATCTCTTCCATGTCTTCACTCGCCAGTTACGTAACTGTGGTCGACTTGGTGGCTTCTCTTCCAGTTTCTCTGACGTCTCTGACATTTGGTGCGTGATGTCGAAAACATTGTCGTGACATACATAACCCGCATTGTTAGAAATTAAGCTCATACCCTTTTCTCCACTTCTCCATGACTTAGCTGAGCATATCGTTCTGTTATTGCTCTCATATAGGAGTTGTAATTGGTGAAAGCCACGCGACCGGCACCTGAACGTACAAAAGCCGCTGTCGTATAACAACATTCCAGAAAGCTTACGCTAGAGGCCTTATTTCAGAAATAGGAGGAAACGAGAACGTTTAAATGGGCACGAAAAACACTTGTGAAACAGCTTGTTATAATTCTTTATCAGTAACAGTTTACCTTTAGGGTACTTATACTCGACATCAGTGTCAATGCCAGCGCAAGCGACACTACCGTATAAACGATCCATGATGTGCGCCAGCTCGACTGAAACTGTCTATCCATTTTCGAAACACTGTGCTAACCCTAACAGCTCTTA